TTGGCAGATGACGTAATCACTGCCAAATAACTCGAGTTATTTGGCAAGCACTATCATAGTAAGCTGCCGGATAACTTTGTTTATTTACAAAATTAAATTCCTTTTTTGGGTTGTATTACCGGCACAAATAAGTAAATCCATTTGGTGACTACGCAGTAATAATAATCGACATTATTTTCCCATCAAAACTATTTTTGAGAAGCGTACATACCTACCTTTAAAAATATTAATTATGATTATATCAACGACAAACGACCTTTCCGCAACAATGCTTTACAAAGGTAGCTTCTCTTATAAAAATGACAACATAAACGTTCTTAGAATTGAAAATAATGTCCGAGCCATGATTGAAAGGGTAAACACTAATATCGCAAGGTTATACTTTGTAAATGACCGCGACGTTCAAATTCCGGTTCCGGCGAATCTTGTCCTTAGAGACGTAATCAGTAATGTGGATGAAGTGCCGTATCGTAATGAATATTTGATTTCTTGGGTTTCCAACTATATCTTGTTTCGTAATGGTGTTGCAGTCTTTACTCTGGAGAATCCAAAACAACAAGCAATCAAGGGAGGGGCAGATCTTGAGACGGATCTAATCCAACAGTAGTTAGGTTGAAAGCTTATAAGGAAGTTAATATGCAAAGTTAACAAATCATAGTATATAATTTCTAAATGAATAAAGATTCAAGCTGACCCTCGCGGTGCATACATAATTGTGTTTACTTCTTGATATGCACTTCTAAATTTTATATCAAAGTTATTCTTGGCAAAAAAAAAGTGATCTGTATTCCAAATTGGAAGACGTAATTTTTTTTATTTTGAATATGTCTGTCTGTATATTGTATAAAACAATTGCAAACTCACAATTGCATTAAAATAAAAAATGGGAGGCCCAAAGAACTCTGAATAAAAAATATTGCCGAAACGGTATGCAACTAGAAAAAAAAATTTTTATTATACAATATAATAAAAATTACAATAATTTCTGATCCCAGTAACGTTCTACAAGTACATTAATAATAGTTTGATCAGGAAAAAATCTAAGAAGCCGACGAAGAATACTAGTTGACCTAGTTGGCATGCACCAACCCTGATTTTAAAAAACGATATGGCAAGCAGAATGCAATCAAGATAAATATCAACATAGGCATTAGAATTGTTAATCTTAGGGTGATGATATCATTAATGCTGCTTTAATACTAAATATAAAAAATTCATGGTAAGTAAAAATTCGGTTTTCATACTACAGACAAGTAAAAAAAAATATATACGAGCAAAAAAAAATGTTATTGGTACTCATCTCACAAGACAGAGAGTAATGTATTTTATATCATATGAGCGGATTGGTCGCATTGGGCCTTAGCAGATTGAGATGATAATCGATGGGAAATTTTATACCGTTACTAATCGATAATCGATAGCGCAGTCACATGAATTTTCGGTATTATTAATCAAAATAGTTTTTCTCACACTTTTTTTTTGTATTATAACTTACGTTTTGTTTTTTTTATTTTTTTATTTTTTTTACTTCCTTTATTATTTTTTTTCTTCTTTTATTCGTTTATATTTATTTACACGTTAATATACCCTTACTCGTCTATATACTTTACTCGTCTATATACTTTATTTACTTTTTTTACTCGGTTTATTTATACTTTTTTTACGAGTAGACGTTTTTTTAAACGCGTTTTTACCAAAATCTTCGTCTAACGCGGTTAACTTTAAGATAAGTGTCTTATTCTTTACACACTTGTGTTCAGTTGCTGCACCTATTTAACCTTTTCGTTTCTGAAGGGTTTCCTTCAAAGAGGT